TTGTGACTGATCTCAGTCTTGCAGAAGGAAGGAAAATGAAACCATCACTGGAGTTAGGTGTGTCTGTTGCTGGCTAATTAGCCCCTGACTATCGCTTTTAATGTATGCTTAAGAAATAAAGCAAAACATGATCCAGCTGGATGTTAGAAAAATTTAATTGCATGATATTATGGTTTTTTTTTTTATCAGAACAAGCTAGATACAACTTCTAAATTATATTTTGTCATTCCTGATACTATAGAGTCATCAAATAGGGCAGAGTCACTGAACTCTACCATAAATATATTTGAAATTAATAATTATGCATTATGGCAGGGTGTAAATTCTTTAACGTACAGTATTTAGAAGGGTCATTTTTATGGCAGCTTTCCTTTTTGTAGACTTAAGTGCCTCATTGAAGATGATCATTTAATATATTTAACTTGTTTTTCTTTAAATAAAAATGAATCTAGGTAGAGAAGACTATTCTTTGGAAAAGTAAATATCTGATTTTGAGAAATGTTTGTGTCTTAGAGTCCACTCGTGTGTTCTAATCTTTTTTTTTTTCTTTTCTTCCGAGCATTTTGAATCTTTCTTTAGGTTAAATATGGTCTTTTGAGAATTGTTTTAGGAAATACCTCTTCATGTTTTATGGAAATACTTACCTTTATTTTATTTGTAAAAATGCTTATTGTTAAATGTTTAAAACACATGGAAAAAAAAAAAAACCCTTAACTCAAGTGTATTTTGTTCCTGTGCAGAGCTGTTAATGTTTCAAAGCTGTTTCACATACTAGATGTTTCTGAACTAGGGATTCACATAATAATGAATTCTGCTTATTTTGGTTCTCCACAAAGGTTTGTTTTATGAGCTTAAAATAAGACTGCAGCTGATTCGTGTGGCACATATGAACTGTTTGTTTAGTTGAAGTGCTTGCCTGTATCTCTCATTTCTGATCACCCTGGAACATTTGCATGCCGTGCAGCAGCCATCTTCTTTTATACTTTATTAAATATCTGTCAATTATAAATATCAAGGTTTTACATTAATGTCAAGATAGTGCATCAAAAATTCATGGAATATGTGACTTTTTCCAAGGGTATTTAATACTTAATGCATTTGTGTCATTTTTCTTTCCAGAGATATTGACAGGTTTTATTAAGTGTTTGTTAGGGAGATTTCATTTTTATCAAGGGACTATAAAGAGAAGCTGCATGCTAAATCAATTTTTTAAAGCCAGAATATTGTTCATTTTTTCATCTTCAAACACTTATAATCCACAGGTTTTATTTAAATTTCTTCTTGGTTTATTTTTGTTTTATATGAGTGATAGTTCAAGACAGAACTTTAATAAGGATCAAATATGCTGACTATAGTGGTTTTTAATTTCCTTAAGCATAGCTACGAGGCCCATGCAATATGGTAAATTCTTCAAAATGTCATACTTACATATTTAGCAATATTGCTTCTTTTTATTGAAGCCAAACAAACAATTGTAGATATTAATCTTTCCCAAACATAGTGATTATTTTGTACTAGGTACAATATTACTGTGTCTCACGTGGAATGCCTCCTTTGGCTGGAAGAGGGAAGGGAAGAGTGCTTCCCTGGGTTGCCTTGCTCCATAGTGCTTCAGATCTGATTATGAGCCACGACAATTGTTCATTTCTCCATTTTCACAGATTTATTGTGCCCAAGAAAGTAAAAAATAATCACTTAAAAAATCTGGAGAAAATCCATGGCTAGTTTCTCTGACTGCATTTATTGGGAGGTGTGGGCTGAGGGGTGTTAGCACTTCAGAGGTCCCATCACCTGCTCCTGCTGGGCCCCACGCCTGAGAGGCCTCTCGCTGTCCTTCTGACAGTGGCGGGCAGAAGCTTCTCAGGGACCCTTCTCAGCCATCCCATGTCTGTGTCTTGGAATCTACAGTTACAGTTGGTTTGGAAGCTAAAACCAGTTGGCTGCAGAGAGAACGTTTTCTGTTTTAATTCTACATTTTTATTTTTAAAGTGCAGGCTAGGAATGTCTTCTATTGAAAAGGCTATTGCAACCAACAAAACCTTTATAAGCACCACTTTGCTTCACTAAATGAGGAACGTTCAGTTATTCTCTGTATAACGCATGAGCTTAAAGATTTTCATCTAAGGGTATTTAGGAGCTTTCCAGTAACTTCAGATTAATAATTTTTGGCAGATGTGTTTTAACTTGGTCTTCAACAGGGAAAAGGTTTGGTATTTTTAAAAATACAATCATTGTTTAGAGCTTAAATGACAATTGTTTGGAATAGGCATTTGTCTTATCCCTGTTCATTTCTTCACAATAAGTAAAACCATTTATTTTCAAAATTAAATTTTTTTACACATGAATGTTTCTGATATTTGAATGTCTCAACATTCTTATAAAACTTAATAGTTTTATAAGTAGAGATTTTTTTAAATAAACTGAATTTTTCTTGAGTAAAGCTGAAGTAGTAGCTATTTTTTGATAAGCCCAGTTTTAGTTTACAGTAAGTTGCTCTAGGCCTTGTCCTGGGAAGATCAAGAACTCTGAGACTGTAACCTACTCTCTCAAGATGCCAGTAGGTGGCGGTAGTGTCACAGTAGTGAGAGCTCTGTGGAGGGAAAGTGATTTCCTTTTTCCGTTAGTGTCACATTTTGCTTCAGTGTCACTGTTAAGTGCATGTGTCAGTGGTGGAATTTTTTTTTTTAAACCAGAATTATGTACAATGGGTACACCCTATTTCTTAAGAAGATAAGAACAACTATTTCTAACAGATTCTGCAAATATTATGTAACTACGCAGCCAAAATGATCTTCAAAATTAGTGCTGCTGAAATTAATTTTGAAGAATGCATTGATACTTTTTTATCTTGAGGGGTTTTTTTTTTTTGATAATTTCATCAGGACTGTGAGCATGGACTTATATGTCGGGTAAGAAATGTGTATGAATAGTAGGAAGAGAAACATTTTGAACAGTTAATTGTCCATCTCTTGACGGAGATCACCCATGTTTGGACAGTTTTGTAGGGTCCAAGGCTACTTAAAGACATATATTCGAGAGTCAGAAGACACTTCAGGTTATTTTTAGATTTAGCATTCCAGTTTTGAATTGTCATCTTCTCTGCTATTTAATAAGTCAGACTTCTTGGTGGGGGTTTCAGATTTTTAGACCTAGAGATTTAGCATTGGAACTTACTAACTTTCCACAGTTTAATTCTACAGTTTAAATGAATTAAAATGTGTAAAAATAACAAAAACAACACTTTCCCACTTCCTAGAATCTGAAAACTGGCAGGATGTGCAAAGTCCCCAGTTGATGGGGTGATGCAAGTTTCATTTTATTGTAAGTGAAAGGAGATTTTAGCAATGGAATTCCTTTTCATTATACTTTTGAAGTCTTTTTGGGCTATTTATTGTGATCAAGTTAGTTTTTTGGTGGAAGGGTAGTCCTTACATGCCAGTTTGCATTTTAGTAAGCAGAGATCTGAACTCTGAAGTGGTTAAGTTTAATAACTAAATGGAAAACATTTTTAGGGCCATTAGAAAGCAAAGGGAGTGAGAAGCTTCAGTACTGTGAGATTCTCACCTGCCTTCACCATGTTGATGATCCTCCGCACCCCACATAGGATTTCCCCATTTTCTTGTGTCAGCTAGAAGATGCCCCTGGACAACATGTGGTTTTATATGCTGACTTACAATATGCCTGCATTAATTTCATTTTTGTTATCACAGAACATGTCTTAAAAACCATGTTGAATATATTTTTATATTTTGACATTTCTTCCAAAGGGTTAAAACTGGGCTAAAAGACTGGAGGGGAGAGCCAGACACCTGGAGCTAACACCCAATTGGCAGGCTTTTGTAATACATAATTTGCCTAAAATTGCGCACTGAGCGCGAGCTTTTGTTTTCTAATTGATTTACGGTTTGAGCCACTTTTACCTCATCCCCTCCTGTCCTGCGTAGGGTGCCAGGGAGTACATTACAGTGAGTGATGATAAATTACAGTGCACTTGTGATGCCAGTGCGTCCTGAGTGAAAACTGCAGGCCACACGGAGCTTCGAGCATTAACAGTGATGTGGAGACCCTGCTTCAGCAGGATTTCATTTGTGTCTCAGAAGCAACCATTTGTTCATTTGATCACTTACTGCAATCTGTCTATCAGACTGTAATTGAAACTGAAGATTAAAATTATACTGTTACAGCTTTTAATTTCTTAATTGAGACAAAGTTTTTAAGTGCTTGAAAGGTCTACCAGGCGGCTGGGGGACATGGTGAAGAGAGAATATGAAATGTATATAATTTTCTTATTAGTGTGAAGTTTTAGATATTCGTACCAGATTTTCTTTTGTCCAGGAGAAAAAGTAAAATTTAAACATGCTGATCTGTTTTGTTATTCTATGTGTTTGTGAAGTTTATTTTATAATATCATAGACCTGTATTTTTCTTGATTTTCCATGATTGATCTGCATTTTCTGTGTATATGATTCATATACAAACAACAAGTTGATTCCCATCAAATGACTTAAGTCGGAGAGAAATGAAAGAGCTTTCAACTGATGAGAGTGCCTTTAATTGTTCCTTTTGTTGACATGGGATTTGAACCCTCTCAGAAGGCCTGTGCAGTACATCATGGCATGAAGTGCAGAGCAGGGCCAGGATGGACCTGGCTTGGGCGGCGCTGCATTTCTGCTTAGCTCCAGTGCTCATCTCATGGGTGTGCCTGCCTTTTGTAAAGTCGGTCCACCTTAAATTGTGTTTTGTGCGGTGTCGGTGGGTGCTAGTATCGAAATAGGAAGAAGCAGATTTATGGCGGCTGCTGGGCACAACAAATTAAGTTGACAGTGATGTATGAGAGCATAACAGCGCGATGATCCCTCCGAAGCGCGGCTGGACGCCGCCTGCTTCATTTGGCTCTTGTTAGGATCTGTTAGGCAGCTAAATAATGAAATTCTGCTGACTGATTTCTGTTTTCCCTTCTTCTCTTTTCACCTCTGCTTTCTGAAACTTCTAATTCCCAGACCCATCCTCATGCCAACAAACTGCCCTTGAAGGATTCTTTCACTTATGAGGACTACAGGTTGGTGTGGACTGTGTGTATGCCTGTGTTGGGGGTGGTTTCTCAGTGAAGCTGGATCCTGGAAGGGAGGGAAGGCTTCAGTGCGAAGTGACCCGCTGTGACCATGAAAGCATCAAAACAGAGATCGCCTTTCAGAAGTTCTAATGAACAGCTTGGATAAGTATCGGCATTTTAATAGCCACGTAGAATTTGCCATTAACCTGTCGTGGCAGGGGATTAGCCTAGGTAGCCAAGTGCTACTTGAGATTAACATTAGTGTTGGGTGGTCCTATGGATTTTTTTTTTTTTTCCTATTTAAAAAAGACTATTTTAGTGTAAAATGCAGACTTTTTTTGAACGGAGAGATTTAATTCACTGCACAGTGTAATAAAAAAAGTCACATTTTTCATTTCATATAATTCTTAGAGGATTTCTGATCAGAAAGGAGTTTTGTGGTTTGCTTTTCGATGAGGCTTAAAATAGGTGCAGAGTCAGCATTTGGGCAAAAGAGGCTTGGATTGGGGGTGTCGGGAGGGGGTTTTGTGAGTCCTAAAGACCCGAGAAAGGGGCCTGAGCCCTGCCCCGAGCCCTCCTTCTGGCTCTGCCTCTTGGGAACAGTCTCCTTAAGCGCTCACTCCTGCATTTTCCCTGGCTCTTTTTAAAACCCTAGGTTTGCTTTTAAATGATGAGGAAGGCCAAACGTTACTTTTGTTACTTAGGAAAAGACTTTGAACATTTGTGAGAGGTCAAACCTACATTTTTGTTTATGTTATTTCTTATTGCAATTGGCTTTTAAGTGTTCCAATTTTAAATCACCGTTTGTCTTGTTACAGGTGGGCAGTCTCTTCTGTTATGACGAGGCAAAACCAAATTCCCACCGAGGACGGTTCGCGGGTGACTCTGGCTCTGATTCCTTTATGGGACATGTGTAACCACACCAACGGCCTGGTAACAATCTCTTCCCCTGTGTTGTGTTGCATCTGGGAGGCTGTTTTTGCTAAGCTTTTGAGGGGGTATTCCACCCACCCATCACACTCTCCCCTGCTGCCGTCCTCCTGAAGGAACAAACAAACCAAACCGGCCACTCCTCCCCACTGCCCACAAATAGAAGCTGCATTAACTAATACCGAAAACTGGGAGCTTGAATCTTACACCATTTTTAAAAGCCACCGTGAACTACATGTATTTGCTAAGCCATAATTTCAGCCTAAACATTCATTTTCTTACAGTACCACAGACTAAACCAGAATTTTTTTTATCTTATTCTCTTTAAAATGCTCAGTTATTGGGAAAAAATTCTATTTCTCATTTTCCCTTTTGTGTCCTATTTTCTTTGCTGACTCTCTGTTTCCAGTTCTGTACTTTCGAGTCTTTGTGGTTCCTTCCCTGATGGGCTGGCGAATCCCTGGCCATATTTATGAACCTGTGTTTGTTACTCGCTTTCCCTGGTGCTGCGGGGCGGGAGGAGGGGCTGTTGCCTTCGGCTCCTCGCCCTTGGATGCAGGAGTCAGCTGGCATCATCACACCTGGGAAGCCTGGGGAGGAGGAAATTGTATTATTATGGTCTCCCACAGCTGGAAGTGGAGGTGGCAGGCTCTGTTTCTCCACATTCTTCGGATTCCAGGCAGCAGCGTAGGTGCAGCACTCCGTGCTCTGGAGAGGGTTGTGTGAGAAAGATTTTTCGATATTGGTAGGCAGAAATATGACACATTTCAGATCATTTTGAAATATCATACATTATGCTAGTATACTGGTTTGATTAGGTTTGGTGTTCATCTTTTCTCAGTGTCAGCTTCCCTTGTTATTAGCAGTATTAGAAGTAGAATAAAGAAATGCCATAAATAATTATTTCATGTTGAATTCCCCAAAATGTCCAGAACACACGTAGTGTGTGCCAGACACTGAAGACAGAATATCAGAGTGCTAATTTGGGAAGGTCTAGCAACAAGTATGCTCTTGAATCTTAAAAGTATTTAAATTGTGGCAAGAAAAAATAGTTACATTTTTATAATTACATTTTAGCCTTAATTTAGATATGCTTAATTTGTAATACTGAGACATGGTAGCATGTTTTATAATTTATTTTCATTAATGAATATAATTTTTCATTTTTTTCTTCAGAGGTATTTTAAACTGATCATAAGGTTGAAATTTTTAAAATTTTCAAATAGCTTTTAATATCCGACTGTAGTATTTTTCTTTTTCTTTTTTTGAATTAGTTATCAAACTCTCATTGGTTCTCAAACTTAATTGATTATTAGAGTTCTTTTTAATAAAATTAAAGCATTAATGCTTTGTTTTACTCTAAACAAATAAAAAGAATTAACACAGCCTCTGTAGTAAGGATGAGCAGTGCCCTACCCCCAGCTCCCATGGTCCACCTGATGCCGCTGAGGCCACCACCAGCCACCGTGATCCCTAGCGAAGCTTTCATCCATTGGCACCGCACACACATAGGCACACTGATTTTTGTTTTGCTTCCATATAAATGGGATAAAACAATTCCTTCTCTCCTACCAAATGTTAAAAAAAAAAAAAGGTTAGTTTATCTCAAAATAAAAGTAATCAATTGATGATAACCAATGCTATATTTTCCCTAATACTACTTACATACTTTTTAACCTACCACAGCCTGGCAGAAACATTGCTAACCTGTAGAACGTTTATTCGAGATGCTGGTACTTTGTCTTCTAGTGGTTATATTCCTGACATTCTTCACTCTGCACTCTTGTTGAACTGTTTCCCATTGTAATTATAAGACTTCATGGGAAATTTACTGGGGTAGAATTTCAGACATTCTATTTTAACACTACAAAGTTGTATATGATACGTATTATAGTTAATGTCTTTTTAAAAATAAAGTCTTGATATCAAGGCTTGGCTTTTAAGACAAGAGATTTTCTTTTTTTTGTGTGAGTCGATCCTGGCGATCATCTTCTTCTTGTCAGTCTACCCTGACTATCACTCAGGGAGTAGGTAGAATTTGTAACCCAGCAACGCTGTCTGCTTCTAACAATATCCCGAAAACCTGATGATCGTAGTAGGAACAGAAGAATCAAGTCTGTAACAGCAGCTCCAAACCAGTGACAGCAAGGAGATGCTGATGAACACCTAGGCTAGAGATTCTGGTGAATATGAACTAATTTCCTAGCCACTCAGAGAAATAAATGTAGAAAGGGTTATAAGGTGTGATACTAAGATATAAGAAACACATATCTTTATATCTTGCATGATTTGTTCAAACTTGACATAAGCAGCAGGTTTCCTTTCTTGAGGGTTTTTCAGGTGTTAGGAGGATACTTGTAAGTGCCTGATAGACAGCTGTGTTAGTTCCCATACTGAGAGTTGTACTGCGAGTATGCTAGAAAAATGGTGCTTGCGTTTGAATATGCGACTCTACCGGTTGCGATGAAAGGGCAGCTGGAAATTCAAGCAGAATGGAGGGAAGTTCTTTTTCAAGGTCCTACTGTTTGTGTATTGAAAAATATCTAAAACCTTTAGATTTAGATGAGTCTTACAGTCTCAAAAGCCACTTTTTATAATAGCAGACAAGTCTCTCTGCACAACCTGTCCCCCCACACTCTCTGTGCACACAGCTCTGACTCACCTCTGGTTTCCTGCTGTTCTTCAGACACCAGCAGATTCCTTCATTCTTGCTGTTGCCTCTGCCTGAGACCCCCCATTCCTTAGACACTTAAGGGGACTGGCTCTGACTCATAGACCTCCTCCAGTGAGGCTGCCCTGAGCACCCTGTGTAGAATGGCCACACCTCCAGCCCTCTGCCCTCCTGCTCTGTCCTGCTGCATTTCCCTCTGGTGTCCAGATCCTCTCTTTCCACCTTTTAAAAAACATAATGTTGGTTCACTCCCCGCCCCGCCCCCCCCATTAGAATGGAAGATCCATGAAGGCAGGGTGATTTTTAGGGGGTCTGTTTTGTTCATTGCTATATCCCAGTGCCTGGTATTCTTTTTAAATGAATTCATGAGTGGTGAATAAATGAATGTAAAAACCCCACACATAGGAAAAAAGATCAGAAAGAGATAAACCAAAATGTTAACGATGGTGATCTTTTTTTTTTGTTTTTAAAAAATATTTTCCAAATTTTACTTAATGAGTCTGTATTACTTTATCCCTCCCACCGGCCATGAAATCAACATGATACCTATTTGTTGAAGAAAATTTGAAAAACACAGAAAAGAAAATTTTCCCCTCCCTGCTGGGCTCCTCCTCCAGCATTGCCAACAAACTCCGTCCCCTGGGCACACTTGAGGCTCCACGTGCCTTTTATAATTTTTTTTTCTTCCTGGGTCTCTGCCACTAGAGGTCCCTATGGGTGGGGACTGAGACTTTTCATGCCATTTTCCAAGTGCCTAGCTTAAGGCCTGGCATAGAATGGCAGTCAGTATTTGTAGAAAGGATGTTAGTTGGCAGGGTGGGAGGCAAAGAGCTGGGCAAGGAGAAGATGGAAGGGCCCTGTCCTAGCTTGACATCTGGAGGCTGCCCCTGGACTAGCCCTGGCCCTCCCAGTCCCAGACATACTTTTGATTCCATCCTAGAGGAAGTGTTTGCCAGTACCACTCGGAGAAATTAGACACTCAGCCTCCAAACATTCTGACCCTAACTGAGAAAGGACTGCAGACTGGGGCAGGGACCCAGCCTGTTTGCCTGTCAGGGCTGCTGTGGGCACATTAAGCCTAATTTCGAGCTTGACATTTGCTGAGAGTGGGAAATATCTGTAAAATACCCTTAAACACTCATAATCCTTTCTCCACATTCTCCTAAATTTCCTCTTCCTTCTAAGTTCCCTCCTGTTTGTGCTGCTGGCAGGTCCCTGTGCACCTGTACCACCAGCACCCTGGGAGTGCCTGGACTCCCTCCTGGGATTCATGATATGGGAGACTTCTCATTCCCCTTTGTTGTCAAGGTGATGTTTTGGAGTCAGAAAAGTACATCTGATGTTGGGCGGGAACTTCACGGAGTTGGTTTTAATTCAATGGAGGTGTTTAAAATGTTCCGCGAGTGAAATGTTCTTGAATACTTGGCTTCATTTATTTCTCATTGCTGCATATTTCTCACTGGTCTTTGTGAATCAGAAGCATGAAGGGCTCTTAGACATGTGCTTAATAAACCATATTTATTCTTGGGATATTGGGTTTAAAGATTAGTGTTACATGGCCTTCTATCCCAAAATGCCGTTCCCTAGACTCAAAAGTAATCTTTTGAATCCAAGCTGTTGATGCCTTTATCAGCAAGGAATACTTGTAGCTGCCTTGAGTCTTTGATTCTCCAGGATAAAATGAGTAGGTCAAAAAGTAATCAGCGAGCATCGACAGACAACCTAAGAGATTGGCAGCTGCTTTAAAAGACACGACTCTGAGAAGGAACTTTTAATATAAGTTGGGGACCGTTTCCTTTCCCTGGGAGTTCATGCATCATGTGGATATTCTCAAAGGCCACTTCAGGTTTTAGGTTCTGTGGGCTGTGCACTCGACACAGAGATCAACAAGGGGCTCCAGCTTCCAAGCCTGACTGATGGGAGGCAGGTGCACAATGATGTGACTTGGGCTGGAGGGAGAGCAAGGACTGGGCTGTGGGAGTGCACAGGAGGGCGGGGTGAGGAGGGGCTTCCCCCAAGAAGCTAGGCCTCAGCCAGGTCTCCAGGGCACGATAGGAGTCAAGGGTAGTGTCAGGCAGGAGGGAACTGGGACGGGCCTGGTACAGCAGGGTGGCAGTTCCTGAAGCTGGAGGGAAACATGAGCCGCCTCCTTTTTCGGCTGTGCTCAGGAACTTGGGGTTTATTCTGAAGGCAGAGCAGAATCATAGGAAGATTTCACACAGGAGGGTGACATTGTATAATTAGCAACTCAGGAAGGACAGTATTGGATTTTGAGACTAGGTTCCAAAACTTGTAAGGTTTTTGCAAATAACGAGGTAGGTGAGAAGGAATAAGGACTGTAGCCATGTAGAGAAATGAGGAAGAAAGTCATCCAAATGGTGTTTACAAGATGAAATGCTGACCAGGTGAGGTGCAAGGGTTTCTTTGTAACTTTCGTGCTGAGACCGTGACATGGGCCGACCTTCACTAAGACAGGAGAGCTTAGAAGGAGATGCATGTTTGGCGTATAGTTAGAGGATTTTCTGTACCTATTTGTTATGGACTTAGAAATGCTCACGTTATCTCTCTCAGCAGAGAGGGAATAAGAAACAACAGTTATTTTATTTTGCCTTTGCATACTTGAAAGTTTTAATTTCTCTAATTCAGAGCATATATCCATAATTCAGAAATAGAGCTTTTCGTTTCCTTCATTCTTTATCCAATGGAAAACCCACTTTGGTTTCTTAATGGCCAAACATTAGATAAAGATAATACTTGCAAATGAATGAGAGTAGTGCCGCTCCTCGGTGAACAGAAAGGAGGCTTAGGTGCGCCTGTGGGAGGCATGGTCTGTGGGCTCACTGGACTCACTGCCATCAGGGAGTCCCAGAGGCAGGTACATTGTAATAAGTGGTCATGTTCTGTTGAGTCCAGCAAGTGATAATCTGTACGTCTCTTTTTCTGACCGTACTTCCTTTATTTTAGGTATGTAATTTTCTGTAATCATCTCTGGTATAACTAGAGTTAGCCTCAGTTCCCAAGCAGTTTTTTGCCCCATTTTCCAAAGCATTCAGTGTACCCTTTTGAGTACCTTTGGATCCCCTTTATCCTCTATCAGAAAAAAGCTCATGATTGAGATGTGCATGTGTTTGCCTCACCTTCATTTCCTTCCTTCTCCCTGGGCCAGATCACTACTGGTTACAACCTGGAAGATGACCGCTGTGAGTGTGTGGCTCTGCAGGATTTTCGGGCTGGAGAGCAGGTGGGTCTCATGACATTTTACAGAACGTGAGCCAGCCAGCGGGCACTGAGTTAACACTGTGCTGGTAATCTTACAAAGGATCTTAGGGAAAACAATGTGGAGCTCACATTTAGGATTGTTTTTCTGGAACACATCTTATGACCTGAACCTGTAGTATACATACTCACTTATTGTGCTTTGCACAGAGAAAAAGATTTAAACACACTTATTTGCACAATTGGCCTAATATTTCTAAATATTTGTAGCACTGTTAACTGAAAATAAAGTGTTACGACACTAAAACAATTTTTAAAATTTCATAAACTTCATTGCCTTTGTTTTTAGAACCTTCTTTATAAGAGACAGTATTTAAGGGGTAAAAACAAGGGAATCTGTTGTCTTATACTTTCATTTTAATTGCTTGATTTTTTAATCTAGTAATTTAGGTGGGGGGAGGGGAAGCCTTTAGGTGAATTTGAAAACATGTATCTATAAATTCTTACGTTCTACCTGTTTTACACACAAGTAGACAATAGAAACATAGCTCACACCCGTAATTGACATTCCAGTTGAGACAAAATGAAAAATACTTGTCTAGCAAAGTACTGATCTGTTCTTTCTTCAGAAAAGTTTATAAACCCTCCTGCTAGGTGCGGGATTAATTGCCACAGGAGCTAGAAATAAGTTTCTGACAGATACTGCTTTACAGTTCCAGAAAAGACTCTGCTGTATTAGAAGGAGAGGAAGAACTCGGTGAATTGTAAAGTGCAGTCTTATAGTAACAGCCTTGCTGTCCCTTGGAAGGAAAAGAGGATTATAAGAGGGGCCTGGTGACCCTAGGGCACCTGGGACCCTCTGAGTACTAGTAAGGCCCTTGATGGGTACTTTCTCCTGGCCTCCCCGCTTCATGCGGTGGTGGAAGTGGGTGCTTGGTCTCAGACAGTTTGGGAAGTTGGGAGAATCGCACAGCTTCGCCCTCACAACCTGTACCAAACAGGTATATAGTTACTTTCAGGTATTTCAGGTCATGAATGTAAAGTGGCATTAAATATAAGAGCACGAAGCCTCTGCCCTGTCCTGTGTTAAGAATGCATGCCAAGTTTGTTTAACGCCCTTTTCTTTTTTCTTCACCGCATCTCAGATTTACATTTTTTATGGCACTCGATCAAATGCAGAGTTTGTGATCCACAGTGGTTTTTTCTTTGACAATAACTCACATGACAGAGTGAAAATAAAGCTTGGAGTGAGTAAAAGTGACAGACTCTACGCCATGAAGGCTGAGGTCTTGGCGCGTGCCGGCATCCCCACGTACGTAGAAAAGCGTCAGTTGGCCCTTTCCTGCGGTACTGGAACTACTTCCAGTTGCATGGTGTTTAATTGGTGTGTTAATAAAACTTCTCTCCAGTAGTTTGTCTTAATCCCTTTATCCCTGTGGCACAGCAAATTTAAGCCATGGCGCTCAGTGATTTACCAGCGTTTTCAGATAAACATAATTGTGTCATTGGGCACATTCACAGTCAGTTCTGGGGGATATGGCCTGAAATCCTCATTAAGTTAAATAAGTACTTTCGTATCATGCATGCCTTTCACCTTGAAAAGGTTAATGACCTGGATCAATTTGTTTCATTTAATTCTTTGCCACCATTAGTTTCTGTAATGAAGTCATGATCCTCAGTGATTTCAAGAATTTCCAGTTAAATTCTTTAAGATTGTCTTGCATTTGAGGTATAAAATGATAAAGAAGACAGGAATTACAATTTATTAGTTCTCCAGGGAATGGAGGAAGCATTCTTAATGAAAATGGATTCTCCAGACCTGTTTTTATTGAACTTGCCAATATTTGATTAATGATTAAAGTGTGAACTCAACATAAATTGCTGTTAACATTTTTTAAAAACCATACGTGTGTTTAATTTTTTGAATGTATTGTGTGCAACCTGAGATTACAGCTGCTAGGGCCTAGGAAAAGCTGGCGAAGATGGACCCCAGTTCTGCCTGTTCACTTCCGTTAACCCCAGCCTGTGGCCTTTTGCAAGGGCTGGAGATCGTGCTCACAGTTCAGATGAGAAGATGGAATGACCCATTCCAGCCCAGCTCTCCTTGAGGACAAACACACGTGTTGTAGACTTAAGGGATTTCACTTTGGAGCGAGTGGGTAACCGCAGCAGGGTGACTGATCTTGCTTTCTCCTTTTCTCAGTTCCAGCGTTTTTGCGTTGCATTTTACCGAGCCACCCATCTCTGCTCAGCTTCTGGCTTTTCTCCGAGTATTCTGCATGACTGAAGGTAAATCATTTCAGGAAAAAAAAGCGATGTTGACTTTTTTCTTTTTAAATCATGAAAGTGTAAAGCATAGGGATTCAGATGAAAGGTAAAGTGGATTAAAACCACAATGCTTTTGGGAAGAGGTAAGATGGCAATACTGGAGAAAGAAGAAATTGATTTGTTTTACCCTGGAAATGTTCTACTAAATCCTCGATGTGTTGTCAGTATTGATTTGTAATACGTAAATAATTCTCAGCTACATTAGAAGAAAACTTAAAATATCTTGGATCGGTTAAATGTACTAAAATTCTGTATAGCCTGACAGAGCCTCATTTCACTCATAGGGCACTAGTCTTTTTCACTTCGAGCACTTCAGGACCAGTTGATGCTGTGATATTGTATAGTCAGCCGTGGCGTACGTGGACCGTAGGACTTTGTTAACCTAGTCTGCATACTGAATCTGAAGTTGCCAGCAAGCATTTTAATGCCAAGCATCCTGTTAGGGTAAATACCATTACAAACAGAATCCGTGTAGAACACAAAATGTTACTGACTACAGCCTCTTATTTCAGGCCCAGAAAGAGTTAAGTATGTGTATTGAGCATCTACTTTTATATTTGCTCAAAACAAATCATCTGGGGTTTCCTGTACTGAGATCTGACCTCTTGTGGGTGTGTTTTTATTTTTCATCCTAAAATGTATCTTATACATTTCCTGTTCCTGAGGTTTCATTTGTGTGTGTGTGTGTGTGTGTTTGTGTGTGTGTGTGTGTGTGTGGCTGTTGTAAGCTACCTTAAATCCTGTGAAGAACTGATTGAGCAGGAATGAGTGAATGAGTGTTTGACTGAGTGAACAGATGCAGAAGTGTTCTGGGAAGAAGCTGCCCAAGCACTTCTTCGGTCAGAGGAAGTAGCCGTGGTCCATGGAGGGGAAGCCGCTGTGCCCAGCTGTCACTGGCTTTGGGCTTAATGTCTGGATCGAGGGCACTGTGCTGCACAAGTCCAGGCTTGACTCCCTACTGGAGGCAGAAGAAACATCCCAAAACATAGAGAGGCACTTCACACACCAACTGCAGAACCCAAAGTGAAATACAGTAATTGTTCCATAGAAGCAACCCTGTCACCTAGATTTATGGTCATTCAAGTGGGAGCTTTTGGTGATTTTTGTACTTTGGTAATGATTCATCAATTCAATTTAATGAACATGAGTTAAGGGGTTAACCGTGAGCTTTTCTTGCATATATATGGATACAAAATTGAATGTTGCCGTTCATATCCTCAAGGAATTTATAATTAAGAGAGATGATAGTGATGATATTCCTGAAATTTGTGAAGCATTCACTGTGTGCCAGGTATGATGCTAAATGTGGTACCTGCTTAATTTTAATCCCATTAGCCTTGATTGATAAGTGCTCCCAACTTACTGATGTAGAGACTCCAGTTCAAAGAGGGTAAGTCTTAGCTGGGCATGGTAGCACATGCCTGTAGTCCCAGCTACTTGGAAGGCTGAGGTAGGAGGATTGTTTGAGCCTGGGAGGTGGAGGCTGCAGTGAGCCAACTCCAGCCTGGGTGACAGAGTGAGACCCAGGGGGAAAAAAAGATGATCGAGTTGGCTGGGCGCTGTGGCTCATGCCTATAATCCCAGCTCTTTGGGAAGTGGGAGGATTGATTGAGCCTTGGAGGTTGAGGCTGCAGTGAGCCATGATCTTGCCACTGCATCGTAGCCTGGGCAACAGATCAAGACTGTCTTAAAAAAAAAAAAAAAAAAGGAAAAAACCCAAAGAGGATAAGCAACTTGACCAAGGTTGCTCAGCAAGCAATGACCCTGACTTAGAACCTAGCTCCATTAACTCCAGAGCCCATGCGCAGGACATCCCACATTGTTCCAGCTGGGTCACAGCTAACACAGTGCATGGAAGAAAGTCTTAATGCTCTAGGGGTCTGGAGGAAATGGCATTTGAGTTAAACCCTGGAGCTCAGTGAAGGTAAGTAAGGGCAAGGTAGAGCAGGAGGGAAGGGGTATGACTGAAGAGCTTTAGCAGAGGGAGGAGCTTGAGCAGGAGTCAGCCAGGAGGAGGGTGGAGGGCGCTGGGCTGTGTGCTGTCTGGGGTGAGCCCACACCACGGTGGGCCAGCATGAGGTGCAGGTTAACTTGCCCACCCTTCTGCCTGCTGCAGAAGCTCCCAGTCAGCTCCTGCATTCCAGGCAGGCCACACGCTACATTTTGTCTTTGTCCCCTTTTTGTAGGCCTTATTTCTCCAGGAACGTGAAATGAGTCGAGTTTCTCTTTTAAAAAGTAGCAGAGAGAAAGCTCTCCCACACACCTGCAGCTTCCATCGTTGCAGAGCGCAGCTTGGGCAGGTTGAGGAAGGAGGTGAAGGAGGGAAACAGTAACCTTCATATTGGGGGGCTGCTGAAAAGAACCTTCAACCACTAGAAGGCTTAAAAAACAGAACTTCCTTGTTGTATACAAAGAATATAAAATGAAGACTCAGAACTGAAAATGCTGAATTTTATCATGATCTTTACTAAGGAATACAACTGAATCAACTTCTTTTTTGAACATTAGATAACCTGTTTTCTTAAAACTGCTTGAATCCTTTTAGGTCTGTTGATTCTCTTCACTTTCTCTCTAGTCATAGACACTTTGTCATGTCAAGACAATTGCTGGATCTTTGAATAACTCTAATAGTAATAAAAGTTCGGTTTGCTGGCAGCCTTAGTTCTTCAGTTTGAATGGAAAACAGTGACAGCTGTGGGGCATTTTGCTCTGAAAGAGACACTCTCCTAATCACAGAAGAAGCATGGGTCTATTTCTTGAGCATGAATAGGACCGGCATGTTTTGGTTTTGGAGATAATGTGCCGGGAGATAAAACGCTAAGAGCAATTGCTGAATTGTTTCTTCTTCTTAAAGATATTTGAAGATAATTGAGATGTTCACTTGTGTTTATTTGTAATTCCTATTTAAATTCCTGACAAGTGAGAGAGCTGGGCATATTTTTCATTAACTAAGTTTTGTGTTTTTTTTTTTTTGTTTTTTTGAAGCAGGGTCTCACTCTGTTGCCCAGGCTGGAGTGCAGTAGTGTGATCACAGCTTACTGCAGTCTCCACTTCCTGGGTTCAAGTCATCCACCCACCTCAGCCTCTTGAGTAGCTGGGACTACAGGCATGTGCCACCACATCTGGCTAATTTTTGTATTTTCTGTAGAGATGGGATTTTACCATGTTGCCCAGGTGGGTTTCAAACTCCTTGGGCTTAAGTGATGCACCTGCCTTGACCTCCCAAAGTGCTGGGATTACGGGTGTGAGCCACTGTATCTGACCCATTAACTCAGGTTTTTATAGTGCTTCTTATGGTAGTACTATTTGATTTAGGCTCTTAGTTCTTTCAGTTTGTGGCTTGTTACAAAAATGGCTTAAATAGCTTGGTCAGGTCACCTACTAGATTAAGTGCCAGTCAGATTTACAGTTACGGGCTCGTGGGATTGTTGTGGCTCTTGTTCCTTTCACTGTTTATATCGTTCACCTAAATGTCTTTTTTGACCCTGTTGTGACTGAGCTCATGGCTAGCAAAAAGGATTTTATTTTATTTTTTGGTCAAAATAAGGGGTACTTGGCTATAGGTTGTCTTAAAAGAGTATCTTAAGTATCTTGTGAAACTATCCAAAGGCTCTCAGTGTCCCTCATAGAAACAGTGAAATCTGGAGTGCTACCAAGGCTTGATCTGGATTCCAAATGAAGAAGGCCTCACCTGGTGTTTCTCCCCAAAACTCAGCTCTGCTCTACTTTGGAGAGTCTAGGAGTGGCCTGGCCGATTGCACAGGGACAGCTTTTACTATGGGAAAATGACGTTGTTGGAAAAGATGTTTTGTAAGGTGGATGGCTTGTTAAAATGAGAAGTAGTGCTGTGTTTTCCTCCTAACAGGTTGCCATTTGTATTTCTTGTAGAAGAATTGAAAGAACACTTGCTGGGAGATAATGCTATTGATAGAATCTT